GACTGATGGCCAAGGCCATATCCTAATAATTCTACAGAAGCATGCGTTCACGAGCAACGGCCTCGGAACCGTCAGCGCACAGCGATCCGTGCTTCGACAGGCAGTAAGGTCCTGAAAGGTCTCAGTACAAATTGTCGCAAAATCACTACTTGCAATGGTTCGTAGCACTTACAAAATTGTATGTAGAGGTTTTGTAAGTTGTTGAAGAAGCTGGTAAAATTTCACAATCAGAGTACGCAGCACGGGGAGTGTTGGGTGTAGTTGCGAATATTTTTGCATGTGATTAATTTGTATTAATACTTATTTTACATTTATCTGGCCATTTTTGTAGCTCATTTTGCAAATTATCGCATGGATATCTCAATGCGATATAAATAGAGCTGCGTCGTATTTAATGACGCTAATTTTGTGTTATTGAATCTTGGTAGTTATCTGATGAATTAATGTTGAACAGAAGTGGTGACAAACAATAATCTTTAGGCATATCTTTTTTTTTTAAATTAATCCGTAAGTGCGGCATTACTCGTAAGTATTTGGCATAGTTTATCAAAGGCCTTTATACTGTTTAGGAACACTGCGACTGTGTATTATTTTCGATGGATCGTTGTCTATAAATTATTTATGACACTTGTTTGCATGATTGTTTGCGTAAAATTCAGGAATTATTTAATAAATTTGTCAATTGTAAGTTAGTGGGGAAACTAAGATTTAGTACATCAATCATTTCTTAAAATGTATTGCAGTTAATTTTGCTGAAAATAAAAATATAGTTTTAATCCCTTTACGTCTTAATTATTTGTGCGTGTGTGTGGATATATTTTAGTTGGTTGTCCTTTTTTATTTTTACACAATAGATGGTCCGCACAACGAAAAATGTTGGAATCTGGATCTGGTGCTTGAAAATCTACGCATAATTTAAGGATAAAAACAACTGCCCCACGGAGAATCTAAATGTACCAAATGAATAAGATTGGGTAATTACGCCACACTATCAATTAGGAATAAAATATGAGTCGTTTATAAAATATTATAAATATATGCCATTCGAAACAAACTAACATTTGTTTCCTAAAATATTTTTACGTTTGAATTAATTAAAAACCTCGTTTTATTAAAAATCAGAAGCAAGAATGAAATTACATAAATGTCCAAATTAAGCAATACACTTTGCTCATATTCAAATTTCTCATTCAACGTTTGATTTCTTACAGACTCATCAAAACATCAGGATGGCAGATTTCAGAAAGGCGAAACTGCTCTACGTCTTCAACGTTTTCTTCGGTAAGTTATCTGATGCACCATTTTCTCGAATGAATCCCAGTATTATATGAAAACTTTTGACGTAAAGAATATACATATGTGGTTAGGTTTGTGAGTATTATGAGCTGAGTTTAAAATAACTATTCATTTTTTAATTACATCCTTTTATGTACATTTCAATTACACAAAAACCACAAGACACTATATTAAAAGTGAGATTATCCAACCAATATTGTACACAGTTAAGAAGATATCGTTATAATTTTCATATATTCATAAAACCAGTATGGGAGAAGTCAATTAAATACTATTATTCACACCAACATTCAGTTTAAAATATCTCAAAATGTTAAAAGAACGATGTGATGAGATAAAACTTGATATATTACAAATGGATAAAAGTTAATTATGTCCTTCTTAGTAATTATACACTCGCGATACACTCATCAATAATGAACGAACTAAGAATTTAATGGCTTAGAAATTTAGAAATTTATCCGCTTAGAAGGTAACTCGAACTAAAGATTTTTCTACAGTTCGGCAATTTCAATCACCTCGTTTTCAATTATCTTTGACTTGAGAGCCATTGAAGGCTTACGCTTGGGGACCGTCGAAGCCCTTCTTGATTTGATGGTCTCTTCATCTGATTAGATGAAGCGGTTGAAATGAAAGGCAATTTCATTGATAAATGGGGACGTTTTCGGTAGTGGTAGATTTAGCAAAGAGACTAGTCAATTCTGAGAATAACCGCTCCGGCTGGTAGCGGCCCTAATCCGAATCGAAAAAGCAATGGATGAAAACGGCCGAATTCGCACCAGTTTCGGAACCGAAAAATACCGAGCCGGGAAAACCTACCCGAAAGCAAAGAAAAGCAAGCCAGATTTCGAACGAATCAGTTCACCACGTTGCTTCTCGTGCAGTTCGACCGAGCATTTCAAGCGGAATTGCCTGAACAAAGAAAACAGAGTAAAGTTGAGTCGTGCGTCCGACGAAGAGACCAGAGAGCTCCTGCGCCCCACCACCTGCAGCATTTGCAAATAATCAGGCAATCACGTTTTCCAAAGACCCTAGAGTCCATTTTGATGTCAATAATGAACGATGTATGTCGGATGGTCAATTCACGGGCAAGTCGGTGTGGATTTTCCTGCCCTTAGACTCTGCAAAATTTGCCAATTGCGCACGAGCGTATGCTACTTGGTCCATTGGACAGGTTGAAACGAAGGCTACGGTAGTACGACGCGGGTGCGATCTCGAGAATTACGTACTAAGCCACCGCACGGCCATCTTAATAGGTGAAGTCAAATAGGATTACATAGAACCACACGTTGAAAGCGCAGTGAGAGAGGAGGTAGGAACCAAAAGTGAAAGGAGTCGAAGGCGGAGCAAGGGGACGCATCTCTAGGCCAAGCAGCAGGTGCTCGGGCGGTAACCCCTCACACTCGAAAAGGATATTTCTCGAGCCACAAATAGCAGCGCTTGCAAACGCTGACAGTGAAGCATTCGCTGCAGAACAGTAGCGAGATACTCAAATAAAAGAATTATACGAAGCACATTACGGAAAGGTATCCGAGACGGGAAAAGACATGTAATTTGTCAAGGGAAACATACTTTTCAAGTCCAGGCGTAGCAAACATGGCGACGTGTACAAAATGCTGGTTTTACCTCACGAGGTACGATTTTCAGCCTGTGTCACAAGACAGAACTTGCTCAAACGAGCACCAAAAACAAAGACAGCCAACTACTAATATTTATTTTGGCCAACTGTTTCAAGGATACAGAAACGAATATCCGGACGTGTGACAGTTGCCAAAAGTAGATAGGCCACAAAGCGCCATAAAAGCTAGTACCGACACGGCGGAGACGTTTATAAAAATAAATGTAGACACCTGTGGACTATTCCAGAATCTCAACTAGGGCGGAAATACATAATTACCGCGATATGTGTATCTATTAAATATCCTGACGCTATTCCAGTCATCAATCGCACATCAGCGTCTGTTACACACTCTTTAGTCGTGTGGACGAAATTCAAACCAAGGGACGTGTTTCACTATCGGTTTGACTGCGGAACTCGCTCAGAGGTTTAGTATTAGTCGGATGCGGAGCTCACCCTATCACTCGCAGTGCAATTCAGTTGAAAGGGTTCACAGTACAATGAACCATGTGCTGAAAGGTCTCTGTTCAGTAGCTGCCTGAGAGTGGCATAAACAGTTCCCAGTTATTCTTTTTGCTCTACGCACAACAGTACACGAAAGCTTAGCTTAGGGAATCGCCCTGCAAATCTCGTGTTCGCACGAAACCACGCCTTAACCCTTACGTAGAGCACTTTAAGCATGTTTAATTTCACAAACAAATTGAAGGCCCTTGCGCACCAAAAGCTCGTGGGTGAGCAGGAAAAACAGAGTTTTCTGTGACCAGAGAGTGGTGCGTTCTTGCCTTGGGGCCCAATAAGACCCGGAATTGGTCCGAACAGTAGGTCGGGCAGGGGAGTGCAGGAGCAAGTGTCCGATACTAATTACGTTGTGAGATTGCCCGGAAAGAAGGAAGAGCCGGTTCATTACACGGTGGCGGCTGGTGCCCCGACAGACTCGAGGTTGCACCTCCATCCAATGACCAAATGAAATTTCAAAAATTTAAAATACGAATGTATGAATGGCTGAAAACCAGAACAGAATAAGTGGCAGTTTATAAATTCTTAGAAAGCTCTTTATTTAAGTTCACATATTGTTTTGGTGCTTGGTTTCATGATTAAAACCACGAAAATACATTTCCACTAAAAATAAACACGTTTTCTCAGAATTTATAAAATATCACTTATACCGTTCTGGTATTCATTCATTCATATAATAAAACTGTAAGTAATTGAAGTAAACTAACTAAAAGTATAAGTTAAATAAAAGTTTTTATTGAAACATTACTAACATAATTGTATGCGTCATGTTTGTGTAAGGTATATACACCTCCAGCGCACGTGGCTCTGGCTTTAATTCCCATGGACACGACTCCATCACATTGCAACAAGCACAAATTGCTTCGACATTTTATTTCGAAAACTGCTTTATCCTAGTTCATATGGCACTAACTACATAATATAAATTGACAATGATTAAGAGCTCCGACATGGATCTCCCGCCATGCAAAAACTCTCTATCAATATAAGGAATTTCGAAAATAAGAAATTGTAAATTTTGCGATTATCTGCAAGAAAGGATTTTATGTAATGCACTTATTCGTGCTTCTAAACGTTCATCTGTCATCATTACTAACAGCATGTTTTCTAGATAGGCAAAATATTCATTTCTTCTAAATATTGGATAGATCACTTTTTACATTCCCGTATATACAGAGTACATAATATATGTAGTATAGGAAACGTTATGTCAAGCTGCACAAAAAAATGGTAGATTATCGGCAGAAAAAAATTCACTGACAGGCCCTGGTAACGAAAAAGTGGATAAATCCACTTGCTAAATTGAAAAAAAAATCCTCTAGGGTGAACCCACAATCCCTGTTCTGTGGGTCCTTCATACCGAAAAAAGAATTGACGGTAAAACGTCTGTCCGTCTGTGAACACCTAATGCATAATGAAATGCATTTTCATGCTGAATCCATTTGTACATCAAATGTTGTAAGCACTAGGGGATTATTATTATTATTATTATTATTATTATTATTATTATTATTATTATTATTATATTAATAATAGTACAATTTTAACCTACCAACTCCCCCTCTGTTTATATTCACTAATAATTATTACTTACTCTTGGTCTTTTCTACATACTCTTTCCTCCAATTTAGTGGCTGCTTCTCTTGATTTATAAGATGCATATTTTCTTTTTTTTAATTACGTATTTTCCCTACAAACAACAAACATTCTATTACCCGATTTACGAAACAAAATTCATTTCTTTCAGAATTCTGTACAATGTTATGATCTTTAAAAAAGTACGCATCATAATTGCCTCTGATATTTTCCCCTAATTACTTTTCTTGAGAGAACTTTTCCTGTAAAATATGTTTCCTGTTACATGTTATTTGCTTACTATACCACACAAAGTACAAATGTATACATTCATATGTCTCAAACAATATGAATTAAAACATGTTCAATTATCGTCTATACTGAAGTTCACAATTTCGCGTTACCGACAAAAAAAATTCTCAAAATACATGAATGTGGTAATGCAAAAATCTCGTCTTTAGAATGGAAATTTAAGATTCCTAACATTTCATATTCATATGTATTCATATCCACTTCACATATACGTTCGGAATCTGTCTGCATCAAACTTTCTCTTTCGTACTTTGCTTTCAAATTCCCAAAACGAGTAAAAACATTGTATCTTGAGGTACTATTGTATCTTCATAATTTAACACTATTTTTACGCGTAAATTTAACATGCTTACCTGGCATTACAAATGCCTGTTTTTAAATTAAAGCAGAAATAATGCGATGAGAATATCACACAAAAATGCCGAATTTAATAAAAAATTGCCCATTTGCTAACTCGCGTTCAAGAGAGCAGTTTCATTGATATTGGTAGAAAATAAAACTAATGTAAATGAGGTCTACCTCAACTAAACATTTTACTACGGCGTGTAATGTGCCAACACGCGGGAAGTTTCTTTCAATGTTTACTCCTCTGAACTGGATCCTTACTCAATATTAAGGCAACAAAATGTCCCTAAAGCAATGCCATTAGAATGACGGGTGAATTACGTGAAGTTGGTATGAAGCACGTGAATCTGAGTAGGAAAACCCATATAATCCCAGGTGAATGCCGGTGACGTATTTACCAAACGACCACGCGCCAAACACGCCAAAAGGCCGCGCGATCATTCCTTTCTCTTCCTTGTGCTATCGTCTCCCCTTACACTTACATGCACTATAATACCACCAATGTCGGGAAACCAATCGTAAGCTTGGAGCTTGTTCGGACGGGGGCGGTGCGTCGTGGCTGGCGGAGATATCTGAAGGAGGAAATCCCCGCAAGCCGGCGTTTAGTTCGGCAATGGATTTCGTCATCCAGAGGAGAAGGAATCACCACTACCTCCCGGGATAAAATATTCACTGCACTAACGGGACTAACATGGCCGGAAACAACAATAAATCAAGAAGATGAAAATGGTTGAGCGGGGGCAAGAGCGCTTGGCTGGCGGCTGGGCGTGCGGGGGAGGAGGGGCGCTCCCAGGACGCCTCTCCCTTCCACCACAGCACAGGGAGGGAGAGAAAAGTCCGTTTAGGGGATTCTTTGGAGCTCTAATTCTACACAACCACGTCACGGCGTCAAGGTCTATTAGCGTTTATCTAGAGATTGTTAAAGTTGGTGGAGGCGAAGAGGAGAAACATGCAATTTCGTATCCGAAAATCAGAATGTACATATGGATGTCTGGATACTTTTATGTGTCATATGTAAAAACGGTGACATTAAAAAATGTTTCTGAGGCTTATGGAAAGTACCCTCAAAAATCATAAATATACTTTCAAAACTCACAAAGCCACAAGATCATTCAAATCGATTGAGGAATATCAATTTTGAAGATAAACTTGATTTTGTTATTTAGTAGGTATTGTTTTATCTCTCAGTGGTTACGTTCAGACCTAACATGCTTAATGCTTAAAAACCCTAAATATCTATTTTTGTATCTCAATTTTTCTCGCTAATACATTTCTGAATTGATTTTTATTTTCATGTAACACGTGTAATTATTGTCATTAAACATATTCAAATGAATATTTTAGAAACGTTATGTCGTACCATTTTCTGTTACAGACGTCAACAAGAGCGGAACAATCGAGAAGAAAGACTTCGAGCTGGCCATCGAGGTAAGAGAACGAGATCAATATTAACTTGATGGCTTTGTGTCTTATAGCAAAGTGTTGTACTTACATTTTCTGATAACTTTGCCTCAATGATCAGCTCCCCATACCAGAGCTAAAATAACTTCACAATTTGCAAGAATTAGAATAACTGTTCGTATTCATGAATATTGGCATTTCCTTATCTGCATTTGTACATAAACCAACGTTCACTTCTTTTCAAGATTTATTAATAAGTCATTAAGTATCTCACTTTTGCTTAGTTACTATGTCAGAATATGATTCTTCATAAAGAGTGGCAAAGGCGAATACATTTTCACTCACATTACTCTGACAAAACACTGAACGTCATTATTGGTTGCTAATGAAACTGCAACTCATAAATATTATGAGGCCTTAAAACCGATAATATTCCTTGTAGATACAATGTGAACTATAAGAATTTGCAGAGAAAAATATTATTGATAAAAAAGAGAGAATACACTTATAAAGGCGACCTAGGTCCGACTGTCACAGTTAACTTTGCACTAAATTGAAGATAGAGATTTTCCCTTCAAATAAGCTTCATTCTCTTTAATTCGATTTATCATTAAGACCATGAGCATTTTTTTTAAACAGCAGTTTTCGTGTAATATTGCTTGAAATATGTGTTATTTTAAAGAATAACAAAAATAAAAATTTCTCAAAAACAGCTCTGTTTTTCTTCCATTTTTCGGTAGGGTTGTGGTAAAAGAGCTGTATTAGATGATTTAATCCCATATTACTGTATTTTATTGTTTTTGAACAATTTAACCAATGTATTTTTTTAATCACGCGTCTCTAATATTTACATTACAGATGATTTATATACATAATTCCTTTTATGAGTACACGTACATTTATGAGTATGATGTGTAAAAATGTATCTCGGAAACACAAAACTTCTGTGAAAATGAACTGCAATTCCAGCATTTTTAGAAACGCTGAAACGTCATTTTATCAAAAACGGCTGTAGTTTTTAAAATATTTTGTACGAATAGTGGTAAATGCATTCTATAAGATAATATAAAAGCCATTGTACTGTTTGTTTACTTTTCAAAATATACGCAAATTAATTTTCTTGAAATATATTTTACTCCCTTAACGTGCACTTTTGCAGCGATTTGTGTACATTGTTTCGTTAGTGAGGTTAGAGATGATTTCCAATGAAGTATCCCGAAAATTCAAAAGTTCTTGTGAAAAGGAGCTTCACATTTCCCATTTACTTCAATGCTTAGACGACATTTTCTGCAAAGCAGCTCCATATTTTTCAACGAAAAATTTTCATATAGGGCAAGATTGAATACTATAAGTTTCTAAAAATGGCCTTACAGTTCTTCAAATAGGGAACCGAAAAATTGTGAAACTATGAAAACAATTTAGTTTGTGTGGCGAAAGATGACAGCTGGATGGAGTATCGAGCCAATTGGAAAAGTTACCTCAGACAACAGGAATTAGAAAACTAACTAGTACGAGAAAGTGTGTGGCATTCTTTAGCATTCTTGGGAGCTGACCGAGGAGGCAGTGGACTGCTGAAATGGTTCGGATGAGCTGCAGCCGGCTCCTTCCACTTAGCTTTGATAGCTTTGTTATCCACTCGGAGCACCACGGCGCATAAGAGATGCGGACGCATTCCCTGTAAATGTTACTATCTAACAGGCGTCACTATCACTTTGGGAAATTTCAGTAAGCATGAACTAATTGAATGGAAAAGCATGTAATTAAAACGAAGTAAAATACATTTGATTACAATTATGAATACATATAACTTGAAAGCACTTAAATGATTGCAATAGCTGTAGGCATGTGTAGATGACTGATTCAATGGATTTCAGTTACAATTAAAAGATTGCAATGGCCGTAAACATTTACAGTTGAAAGTTGGTTGCATTTAGCACTAAACATGTGTTGAATATGCAACATAGCATGGTGTAGCAGTGCTGAACTGAAGAACAGGGTACATTGAATCCAAACAGAAGCATGGCGATGCAGCGTGGTATTCAAGAGGGCACGTCTTGTGATCCGCCTGGAAAGAGGGCAAGCTCTGGGGGCAGCTAGAATCCTAGGAAGGCCGTGAATTGTAGCTAGTAATTGTTGAAAGTTACCCATTGTTGCACAATAGGTGTGCGATTGTTACTGCTTATCACGTGCAGCACATGTTGAAAGAATAGTTTACGCTTGGAGCATGCACTTACATGAGCGTTCGGAATGATGAGCATTACAATACATTGTGGCACAAAGAGTTTATCGTGGTCACATTAACAAGTTTGTAGCGAAGCTGTGAAGAATGCACAAATGCATGTCGAGCAGCGACATGTGCGTCTGATGTACACCAACTCCGCATGACGTAGTAGCCGGGGCAGCAGTTCGCCTGGCACTTGAAGTGAGTGCTTCGCTAATGTTCGGCGGCGCGGAGGGAGCGGAGCGGCGTGTCCACGCTGACGCCTCTTCGCCCGTTCGGCGGTTTTTTGACGGAGTTACGTGGCCCAGGAAGTGGCCATGCGGCCAGCGAAAGAATTAGCTCAAATATACAGAAAGTGAGAATGAACCGAAACTCGCGGCCGAGTGTGCAATTACGGTATAAACTAGGTGCTGAATATGCAGAGAGTTCTAACAACAACCCCTACCGGATTTTTCTACCTTGAAGTTATTATTATACGTTCATTACCGTTAAAATTGTTTGCTCAAAATGTGCAATATTCTTTGCACAATCTTAATTATTTATTCTTATAGTGTTTTGTTAGAACATCCCATTAATATCCTGTGATATGAAATTCCATTAAATGTCGTTGAAGTAACAATTTTATTTCAATACATACTTATAATAAATCCTTATTTTCAATTCTTAAATTCCTTCATCCCAAGAAAGAAAAAAAGTCTGAAAACGTGAAAGATTTGAAAACACAGTTCAAGAGAAATAGCATCAGCTTCTCTTTCCCCAGCGCGCGCTAGCAGGGGAAGCGCTGCATGACCTTGTGGGGCGGATTTTTACATTCAAGATATTCGTTAAAATGCTTGTCTAACATTTGATAATATTTATATCACTGGATTCTTCTTCTTACGCTCGTCATGATGAACTTACAAAGATATTCAGTTCCACTTGAAGAAAACAAAGTTACCTCAATATCCCGTAAAAAAGTGATAAAAGTGATAAACAAGTCGACTCACGTATACGATGTCAGCAAGGTCAGATGGTCTTGCGGGCTGAAGCGTCGTTTGTACGAAGTTCTAATTGCACGGTTTTTACAAAAAATACTTTTCAAATATTAACAATATTTATATCATTGCATTTCGTTTTTAAAGAACTTAAGAGTGCAGGAGAAAAATATATACTTCCATTTAAGAAACAAGTTGTGTCAATATCTTTAAATTATATACGGTACTAACAAAAAGGGGCGCTTAGTCAGCATGCTGGCTTTCCACTACGCGGCCACGGGTTCGATTCCTGGTCGAGCCAACATTATAATGAGCGTTTCCTTGCAATATTATGACCTTGTTACATGTAACAAGTCATCGTGTCTTTAAAGCTTTGTAATTCCTTGTATAAGTACATTATACGCTAAGAGGATAGTTTCTCGCAGTTTATGAAAAAATAATACGACCATAGGTGAAGGAAAGTGGAGGACATGTAGGGAAATGAAGGTGAACAGGGTGGGCCCGACGTTTCTAAGTCTTTCTGTTTTACTATTACTGTGTTACTGTTTTACTATGTCTCAGAACAACGGAAAAGGCACGAAAAAAATATAACCTTCTCTGAGAACACTTGTTAGTTTTTTCAGATATTTTCAATCGCTGGGCCGTAGTTAATAAACTAGGGTGTTTGTAAACAAGCACTTGGTGGCCCGGTAGAAACGCTCGTCCTTCCTCCAGGAGGAAAGACACCTGTGCGGTACACGCTGTGTCGAGGACGCGGCCAAGAAGTTTACTAAGGCAGCGGAAGCCTACGCTCTCACTTCTGTAGTTGTTTCACACTACAGAAAAAAATGTTTTCCCTTACTTGATACTTAAGTATAAATATGACCATAAAATAAATATAATACCGTCAGTATATACAATCCGAACAATGGAGAAAACTCTGCACTTTATAAATGATAATTGTATGAAAACCGAAAATTAATTTTAAGCAGCACCTAACTGCGAACGCCCCTCCTTCAAAATGGGTTTGAGGCCTGCCATTAACTTTTTATATGTCAATAGTGATTTAATGGTGGAAATGGTACAAATGGTTCTTACTTTCCGCATAAGAAGTAATATAAGTAATAAATAGAAAATTAAGAAATGTTTCGCGAAAAAAACGGCGTATTTACGGCAGAAACTAGTGGTGCTACAGAATGGCACAGACTTTCCCGTATTAGTTTTCTATTTTATTTCGTCTCGGTTAGCTTTTCGAACTTGCCACTGCCATGTATTTTTTTTTTACTTTACTTAACTTTTCAGCTTCCTAATAACAGAACAGAAACATTATTATAAGAATATTACAGTACAGAAAAACCTCGTCATAAAGAGCAATTTTCTTATAAAAATTTTGAGCGGTTTTTAAGAAAATTGCACTTGAGCGCTACAGTAAATTTGAAATGTGAAACACTTTTTCACTGAAAAGTTTTTAGTTTCGGAACAACTTCATTTGAAGTCATTTAAAGCACTTTAACTCACAAATACAACAGTGTTTACAAATTGCTGGAAATAGGCATATTACCGGCGTGAGAGATATTTTTAAAAAAATCATTTGTGTAATTTTTGGGGGAAAATACGTGAAATGAACTTTTCGTCATATTAGTTAGTGGAATTAGCATTATCTTTTCGGAGATTTTGAAGAACAAAATTCGAGCAATTTTTGTGAAAATGGCGTTTGAGCGATTCTCAAAATGAGGAATTCTGAGCTACTTTTACAGAAAACGGTTGAGTTTTTGAGAAACTATCTGACATTATTAAAAACACACGTATTTATAAATATAATAATAGAACTAATTGCCACTAATGTAAATAATAACGACATGAGAGACAAATAAAAAAATACGTTTTTGTAATTTAAAAAGAAAACAAAAGAATAGAGCAATATGGTGTTTATGTCATCTTATAGAGTACATTTAGCACTATCCCTACCAAAAGTTTAAATAAAACATTTTGAGCCATTTTTGAGCGCGAAAACTACAAATATTTTCACCAAAAAATGCCCATGATTTAAATGAAAGAACTAAATATGGAGAACAAATTTTATCTAAACAAAAATTTTGATTTTCAATATTGTAGCTGTAGGAAGATGCCGAAAAAAATTAGTTAAAATAGGAACTATGATGACTTGATAAGGGTATTTTGCTCTATTTTTACACGAATATTAAAGAAAAAATTTGACGACGTTTATGAGAAAATTTTGAAAATGACCGGGCTTCTTGTAAAGTACCCCCAAATTTCAAAGAATATGTTTCAAAATCTCAAAGCTTCGACTCGAGCCAGAAGGACAAGGGTTTCTTCAATTTGGAAAAAATCCTTCGCATGATTTAGGCGCTAATTATGTTCACAGGCGGACAGACGGACGGACTGACCGACGTTTGCAAAAGAGCCAATTTTTCGGTATTGGGAGACCCTAAAACGTATATTTTGTCGAAATCTCGAAATAGATTTTCCGCATCATTACATAACTTCCCTATACTACATATGTATTGGTCTCGGCTATCTACACGAACTTGCCACATACTCTTGCCAGCTGCCATCAATCGACGCCTAAAGTATATTCTTTTCAAATTTTATTAATTTATCGGTTTCCTAATAGTAGAAACAATATATTATTTTAAGAATATAATATAACTGTAAAACCTTGCCCCAAATGGCAATTTTCATTAAAAAATGTGTAGCAATTTTAAAGGAAATGGAGCTTAAGCGCCACTGTGAATTCTAAATTTAAAGCTCTTTTACACAGGAAAATTTTTAGTTTTCGTAAAACTTCATATGAAGTTATTTCAAGCACTTCCACTCACACATTCAATAGTGATTACAATTGATGGAAATGTATATATTACTTGTGTGAGAAATCTTTCACAAAATTACAGTTTGATATTTTTTTAAAAAACAAAAAATACCCCAAAATTAACTTTGAGTCATACTAAACAGAGCAATTAACACCATCCGTTCGAAAAGTTTAAAGAGATAATTTGGAGACTTTTAGAGAAAATTGTCTTTGGGCTTTTCTGAAAATTAGGAATTTGGAGCTCATGTTCACAGAAACGGTTGAGTTTTCGAGAAACTTTATATGACATTATTTAAAGTCCATGTTCTCATGAATATAATAATGTGAACAAATTCCCACTAATGTAAATATTAACGACGTAGGAGAAAAGTAAAAAAAATACATATTTGTAATTTTTGAAAAAACAAAATGTAGATCAATATGGCGTTGATGTTATTTCATAGAGTGCATTTATCGCAATAACTATCAGGAACAAATTAGAGCCGTTTTTGAGAAAATTTTGTTTGTGTAATTTTTTTAAATTGCACAAATTGCAGGCAATTAATTTTTTTATTATTTCTTGTGCTGAAAAAAACAATCTTAATAAGTAATAAAAGATATAAAAGCACATAGTTTTTCGTAGGAACAATCCGTTCTGATTTATACTGACAAACAAACAAACAAAACGTGACCCCCGCTTCCCGTATTACTTTTGCGATTCTGAGACGCAAATGGTTTTGTGTTTTCTGAGACGCAAATGGCTTGATATTTTCACATCTGGCACATTATCAGTGCACACACGTCAAAAGGTAGATATTTCCTAGAATAATTAGAGCTAGAAAATGTTCGCCTAGCTAGTCGTAGCACACGCTTATTCTAGTCCAGGGCATTCCGTAGATATTGTGAAAAAGTTCAATAACTCCTTTACGCTCAACCAAAACTTCATGAAATGAGTGTCCTCTGGCCTTCGTAGAGTTAAAGAGCGAATTGTAGGCTGTCAGAAAAAGTGGGAAACGGGTAAGGTGAATATATAGTGTCTCAAAACGCGACAAAAATAAAAATACTACTAGCTAATTCAAAATGCTAATAATAACAATTCTTGTTTCAGAAAATCTGCCGGACGCGTGGCTGGGCTGACACTGACCCCAAATCTACACAAACCAAAGATGTGCTGCTGCGTGTGTGGGAGGGCCTGAGAGCAAAGGCTGATACCGACAAGGACCAGCAGGTAAAGTTTAGAAGTCATGTTAAGAAGCGCAAACTTATTATGTAATACTTAATCAAAACAATTCCTGGACGAAGAGTCCCTAGACAGTTTCAAATCTAATGTTATCGAAGCATCAGATATACCGAATTAGTAAACAACTTTTTATGATGACTACATTTGGTTTGCGATTTAGAAAAAAGTACAAGCGTTACAACATTAGCAATCAAAATAGTAACTGAGATCTGGGCGATACGAAAGGCTCAGGTTCGTGAGCACCGTTGCCGATTATTCGACCACCGCGCTGCGGCCACAGTTGGTAACAGACATTACATATTTAAATATGTAAACCATATTTAATAGTCTCATATATAATTTCAGTAATATGCATACCTTTTGCGCCTCTCAAACGCAACCTATCTTTTTATAAATAAGGTCCCTAAAGAAAGAGAAGTGCACAGAGACATGAGTAATTGCACTATGACTTTAAAAATATTATGAATTTGTTTAAAAACGCAAGCAAATATTCATGTCAAATGCAACCCACAGCACGCAGTTAGTTATATCGTTAAATAACTTCTAAACAAAGAGTTCTAAGGCCTTCAAACTGAATTTTGGAGGCAAAGGTCTCAAAGAAACTTTTCTCACACCGAAATCTACAGGATGAGATTTTCATCGACGTTCTATTAATTTTTTGCTGGTTCGGCACTTATCGACCCTACCAATGCCACCTATTTCAGCCCTTGGTGATGGTGGTCATCTTTGTGACGTCACGCTTAGAAGGCTTAGATTCCTCTATCTTATACTATTTACGTTTTCTGAGTACGTACACCGTGGTTTGCGCGCTAACTATAAAGCTTATTTGCATAATTATTAATTCAAGATTAGCTCTCGTAGCAACAACTAGAAGTACTATTAATAGTTGCTTGGTACCAATGAAGATTGTTTCTTATGCGTGTAGTGAAAACAGTATTTGTTTTGCCGAGGTCTACAAGTGCTTTGTTTATAATTGTGGAGGGATGTGGGTGTACAGTGAAGACTGAAGACGTATCTTGTTCTGTTTGGTTTGTTTTACCTGTACCAGTATTTTCCTTATCAGCAGTGATCCGGTGAAACTTTCAAGTCAGCGTGTTCAGTCATGTAGCTTTCTCAAAAGTAAAAAGCTGTTTTAATAAATTGGTTTCAATCGAAAAACCAATTGTCAAAGAATACAGTACAATTACTTCAAATATTTTAAGGAAGTATGAATTGTTCGAAGAGATCTCTCAATAATACTAAATAAATATTTATTGGAAATTTGTTTTCAACATCAATTGCATTGTTGTTTTTTATTTTTATTTCATATTGTGTTAGTACATTGGAAATTGCCTTTATACATTTTAAACAAATAAATACGTTTCGTTAACAACTTTCCCTCTTAGAATGGAAAAAGAAAGATAGAGAAGGGTGTGAAGTTTAACATGCGAGAGTTCTCGCACAGGTACGCGGTGGCCGTAGGAGAAAACTTTTGCTATGCCACAACACAATGAACAAACTTTTTTAATGAACTGAAGTAAAATAGTTTGAAATAAATTAACAACAAAGATCAAAAAGCGCAAAATCAACCCCCCCCCCAAAAAAGGAATGACATCGATGTCGATTTTTTCAAAACATCAGTGTTTTAGTAGAAACATCGATGTTTTGTTTCTGAATGAAAAATTCCAATGATAACAATATTGTATAAGTTAAGTTAAAACATGAAATAATAACTGAAAGAAATCCTGCACTGTCTCAACCTTAAGCCTATGGTTACGTCTTCCTGTTGGGACGATCGATTTATACATTGTGACAATCATTATATGTGACGTACCGGTGGTTGATTATCAACACTTACCGACCGATTGAGAATTTTGCGGAACACGAATGTATGTGAGCGTGAACACATTGCCTAGTTTGGAAAAGTTGGGATCAAATTTGTAGCTATACAAAGTAAATATGTTTGTGTGATGTGTTAAAGTGTGTTTGTAAGAGAATTTGTTGATTAACTCATTAAAGACTGATAGAAAACATTACACATGTAGAATGTTAATAAAAAGGGAAACTACAAGATGATGTGCAACTTGATGTTGTTGGATGTGCGTTTAGTGAAATATGTGTATGTTTAGTGAAGGATCAGAAAATGAAGGCAGTTTTTAAATAACCAAGTTAAGTTGCATGTGATTTCAATTGGACATTACATATCTGAAAACCTTGGTAGGCCCCATTTGATGTACCCTTGTGGTCTCTTTCTTTGATGTTGTGCTTGTGAATTTAAGAAATTCTGGCAATGTTACTTTCTTCTGTGCTGTGTTACACACCAGCATTCACATTAAAATGTAGCATGTATAAAACAAAAATGTTGACGACTGTAATTTATTTGCAGCATCATGCACTGAAATGTTTTGATGCATTTGTAATTCATCAAAATGTGATCTTTGCTGTAGTTCAACATTTTTTTAATTAAGGAAATCACTCACATTTTATTTTCTAACTGAAAAGAATTGTGAAACTTCCAGCAATCTGATATTCTTTCAGGGATATTAAATTCCATTGTCTCTTCTCTCATTCCTTTAATAAATTAATGAAGTGTTTTGAGTATTCAGAAGGGATCTTTGTGCTTAAATTTATATTTGTCACACATCAAATCTGTAATTGCAGATCTGTTGCTGTCAAAAATCATTCCGTAATTTCATTTATTTTATAATGTCAATATTTCTAATAGAATGTTGATAAGGTATATATTTTAAAATTTGAACAGACGCTGTAACACATTCAAATTTGAAAATCTTGCAAAATTAGGTTTTTTTAATCATTTACGTTTTGTTTTTGTTTCATTTCTATTTGATTTATTTGCAAATAATATACAACTAGTTAAAAAATTGTACTTACGTAATTTTTTAATTTTATTATCTTTATTATCATAATATTTCATGTTCTGCATTTAATTATATCTAAAACATGTGCCACCTGGACTGGCAATAATTATCCAATTGCATTTAGACATATCATAATTTTATAATTTCATATCATTCTTTAATTATTAATAATTTAAATATTTCAGGTGTATAACTTGACACCTAAATAATTCATTAACTTATTTTCAATATCAGTACAAGAATTAATTTTAAGAATTGTTGAAAGATATTGTATTATTCTGCTATTGACTGCAGCAAAAGTGTTGAAAGAAACCATGTTAAAAAACAATTTTTCAAACCTTGCATTGCTACACAAAATTAGTAAACACTTAAACATGGTGGCAATGTACAGACTATTCATCTTTTTCTCTGGTTTAGAAATGTATGTATACAATCAGTATATAATTGTTATTTGTCACACTGCAAGTTACTAAGGATTAACAATTTTTATATTTGCAAAATTTGTAATGTTTATAAAATTCTTATCCCATGTATCAATGCAAACTTCATGCTAAGGTGAGAATTATGTTTCTATAATAGATATTATGGAAAATTCGAAACAATCAAGTTTTGATGACTGCTTGCTCTGATTGTCACAGATTTTTAGAATAAATTATAAATATTTTTTTATATGTGATACAAATGTTCCAGTGCCAACATTGAACTACTATACAATAACAAAATTTCAGAAAGAAAAAATGGGGATTTGAACTAGCCCTCCCATGTGAAAATTTAATTCCAATGCGATTTTTTAATAAAAATTTATAATTTAGCAACACTTATCATAGTCTGGGTTTGACGTTAAAAATCAATCATGATTAATGCATTGATAAAAGGTATTTCCTTTTGTATTTATTATTTCTACTTTAAAAATGCTTACATTGCTTACTGACACATTATTTTTGGACCACAAAACTTGTTATTTGACTAGACTAATTCGAACTTCATTGAACACTTGCAACAAATAATTAGAAATTCAATAAAATAACAATAATGTGCATAAATACAATGGATTTTAATTGAACTTTATGATCATATTTCATATTTTAAAGGAGTAAGCACAACATGATATATTTTTATTACACAAGGCTATGTGCTTTTTCCAAAATGTTAATATGCACACAGTCTGATTTTTACTTAGTGAGCAGATTGACAACATTCTCGGATGCAAAACTGGTATCTTACTTTTCAGGATCTCTTAGAACTGAGATAACGAAATGAAATTTGTCTTCATTGTAATGTTTTGTTATTTGTGGCCTAGGGCAATTATGAGCTGTTACTTGTTCATTATGAAAATGTTTTAAAGAAATGTAAATAATTATTTCATAAACAATGTATAATTTTTAAATAAATTAATCAAATGCTTTTCTCATATCGATTTCCCGAATTTGTCTTTCAAATGCTACCACATTTGTTCATTTTCCTGTTTGTGGTCTTCATGCCTGCAAAACTGTTACCATATTAATGTGATTGAGTATTAATTTATTCACACCCTTGTTTCACTGGAATCATTTGCAACTCGCAGCACACAGCTAATAATAAGTAAAGGTTAAAACTAATAAATTAGTTTCATGAAATGTAAAAAACTGAAACTTCAATATATTTATAGTTGTGTGCCATAAGTTGCAAATGACTTAAGTGGAACAAGGGATGAAATAAATCAATACAAAGAAATTAATTAACAGCAATCGTATTTAAAAATACTCAGTATAATTGAATTGAATTTTGTTTTGTTTCTTGTTGGGTGGGAGGAGATATCACTTCTTGCTATTAAATGTTGGAGAAAATATTTGGCAAAAAAAAAGGAAATTCTTTCAGCTTTAACCTTCATGTATGAAATCCCATTCACCAATTTTTTTAAAAAAAATAATGGGAGTGATTTCATATTAAATTAAAATTAGATTAAAAAATCTCATTAAATTAAAAAATCAATGCAACAATTTCTGGAATCAAATTTACAATTAAATGGTACGAGTACAAAACGAGGCAAAACTCTCCAAGAATACTTATGGGTTGATGCAAATAATTTCATTGTTGGTAAGAATATTTTTTGTAGTAACTGTGGCGAAAAATTGCGAGTTGTGGAACCAATTGACGAAGTTCCGAGAGAGTCAACCGTAAAATGCAAACATTTTATGGCTCATGGTACTACGTTGACAAGAGGATCACCAGGCACAGAAGTGGTTTAGGCCCCACGGAGGTCCACAAAAGGCGCCTACGGTGCGTGAACCCAGCAAGCCGGCGCCTTACCCCTCCACAATCCCCTGCATTTCTCATAACAAATCCATGGAAGTTAAATAATATTGCAAAGAAGGGTTGTACTTGACCGATCCTGTATTTTTGTAAGGAAAACTTGACTTGGCTTTCTCAAGAGTACAAATCCTTTCGAATATTTTATATTTCTAATATTATAACTCTCAAGGAAAGCGGAAAGCTAACTGTCAAGCACGATTCAATAATTACTTCAAATATTGTTTTTAAGGAAGTGTGAATTGTTCGAAGAACGTATCCCTATAATACTCAATAAACTTTTATTGAACATTTGTTTCCAACATCAATTGCATTGTGTGTTTGTTTATATATATATATATATATATATATATATATATATATATATATATATATATTACGTAAGTACGAAGTTACATTTATACATTGTTTTAGCAAATAAACACGTTTCATTTAAAACTTTCCTTCTTAATGGAAAGGATAGGGAAAGGGCGGGGATTAACTTAATAAAGTTGTCGCATGGGTACGCTAGTATAAAAATAAATCCTGTTTGGGGTTGCAGCAAGGCTATTGAGACGTCAGCAACACTGCGTAAAACACGGCTTTCAGCAGCCCAGATCTCATGAAATTCGAATACCGAAACTTTCTGACCATAAATGGTAACAATTAGTAGAAAAACTATGAAAAAATTATATCTTTCAATTTTAAGTTATTATAGGTTGCGTACAATGATAATATGACAGTAATAAAGTTCATATAATACAAGTAAATTTCCAAAAAATTGAAAAAATATTATATTTTAGGTGAGCCAAGATGAATGGATTCGCATGTGGGATGATTTCAAGAAAAACCCCGAGTCTGTACTTGAGTGGCAAAACCTGTACAAAGACTTCATCTTTGACCACGTTGATTCCTCTGGTAAGTTTATTTTTCTTGTTAAATTGTATTTTCACTTTTTAAATAACAAATGTACTACTTGTTTTATTTTTAAGGAATATCAAATACACATGTATTGCGACAAATTAATACAATTCTAATGAATAGTTTTATTATAATTTCACATTAATATTTGTTTCGTAATATTTTTAAGATAAAACATATTTTAAATAAGTAACTTGTAATATATTTCTCATTACTACTACTACTACTACTACCACCACCACCACTAGTATTATTACTACTGCTACTACTTCTACTACTGGAGTGTACTAGGCCCTACTGAGTATAAGACCTACAAATGATATGGTGGGACGAATTATCCTTTCCCATCTTGTCAAGATCTGTGGTTTAGCACCATGCCATGATACACCATATTACAACTACATCCCAAAAAATGTCCTTTAAAACAACAGCTATCAACTGTATTGGGACCGAAGTGTACTGACAGATCGAAAGGTGCACCACATTAGACCTGACATAACTAGGATAAAAACAGAAAAAAGTATGGTTTGTGGATATGGCAGTCGTCGATACTAGCAATCTTACGAGTGTATCAGGCGAAGATCCAGAAGTACCAAGAATTGGCCCATATCGTGAAAGAATAGTGGAATATCCTAAAAATGTCTGTCTCTGTCGTTCTTTTGGCAACGGGGATAATTTCGAATACTTTAAAGTACTCGCTTGAAATACTTGGAACTGAAGAGTGCCGCCATCACTCTCCACAAATCTGTTTTACTCAGTACGCGCTCATTGGTCAGGAAGTTTCTGGGAAGTAATGGAAGTTTTTAGGTTTTACAATAATCAATGTAAAAATTATTTTGAATTTTACTCATAAATATGCATCTGTCAAAAAATCAGTTTTGTAAACAACGCACTTTCTCATTCTAGTATCAAATCATAATTTTTTTAATTTATTGAATACATAACTATCTTACACTTTCAAAATATTAAGGTAATTGCTTGTTGCTCTTATCAGAGTTTCTTGTATTTATTCCAATTTTATCAAGTACATTAAAACGCATACGTGACATGGAAACTAATCGTTCTACTCTTCTTACTCTTTACACTCTCAAAGTCGACCTTCTGAAAGCCTTCACACACATAAACAGTAATACAGATTGACATATCCGAAGGTTGGAAGAGGTCGTTCTCTATACAGACGGTTGGGTACAAGTCGGCAACACTGCGAATCAGCACAACCGTGCACCCGTAACTGCACAAAAGACCCAGGCCCCATATCCAGTTGCAACTCAAAACAAATTTAGTGTTTTAGATTATGAAACAGGTTTTCCTCGCGTCCCTGAACCTCACAATCTTTCTGTGCCATTGACAAATACATGCAAAAACCAACGCTAACAGGCTAGGAAGCGCGTCAAACCCAAACCACGTAAAGCTGCGCATCCTAGCCCACTTGAAAACAAAGACTTTCTCACTGAGCCTAAAAAACAAGTACTTATTTTAGCTGACAGCCATGGCTACCATCTTTCCTCCATTCTCTGTAGGAAGTTACCTTACAACTACTCAGTCTCATCTATTTTTAAACCTAACAGGAGGTTTGCAGACGTGACTGCAGGGTTGGACACCCACACAAAGACACTGACCAATCAGGACAGTCATTATCATAGGAGGGCAGAATGACATCAATTTGGGCGGTAACTTTACACCTGAACAACATGTAAACAAAATACAACGTGCCGCCCAAAACACTAACATTGAAGTCTCGATTCTGCCCTTCTGGTACAACAGACCAACACTATGCAGCGAGATTAGGTACGCAAATAAGCAATTAAAACTGCAACTGAGAGAAATAAATGTTACACTTTTTGAAACGAATTTCCTCTCAGCAAAACACTTCACCCGGCGCGGTCTCCACACGAACCTTGCGGGAAAACACACAGTCGTCAACAAGCTTGCACAGCACATCATCGTGGCAAGGTGTGGTTGATGCGAAAAGCTATGGACAATATCTTGTTAACGAGCTCGTTTGGGACAACGGATTACGATTAGAAAAGGGCTATAGTGGTTCCAATATTTAAAACCGGAAGTCGTTCTTGTCATTTCCCAATTACCAGACCCTAGAGCCTTACCCGTCCCCAAGTGATTTGCAAACAAATCGAACATTTGGTACTGAGTTCTTGCGTCGGGAATGGGACAAATTAGGGCCGGTTATATGAAGGGCAACATGGATTCCGAAAATCCTTCTCGTGTGAAAAGCCAAATTATTACAACGTGTCAAGATATTGCTGAAACTTTAGATTCGGAGTGAGAGAACAGACGCAATTGTAATAGATTTTTTCAAAAGCATTCGATCTTGTTTCGCACGATTACTACTTACGAAAATGTGCATCTACTGAGCTGACCATCGCGTAATAGCATGAGATACGGGAATTCCTGATAAATTGGTTCAACAAGTTCGAGTTGGACATGAACATTCAGCAGGAAACCTTAATTACCGTTCCGGCGTCCCCCAGCGCAGTGTCTTAGGACCCGCTGTTGTTTCTGGCATTCATCAACATCTGCCATCTGTATTAAGTCCAGTAATGCACTTATTTGCGGACGACTGCAGAAATTATTCGGCGAATTTAAATTCGGATGAAGATATTCTCACACTTCAAAACGATCTTATAACATTAATTCCTGGCTACCATTAATAAAATGAAGATAAATGCCGTAAAAGAATGTCACTAAACTTTTCGAAGGTTCCTTAGAATACCAAATGGGAGCGTATCATTCTCACAAGTATCGTGTTGTAAGTATCTGGGTATCATATTACCCAAAGACTTGGGATGGGGGAACACGTTACTTCTATTGCCCGAAAGCGTTGAAGTCATTACACTTTGTAATGAGAACACTTAAAAAGGGAGCATGGAGAGTCGAAAAATAGGATACACATCTTTAGTTAGGCATTCTGAATACGCATCAGCATGGATGGGACCCATACAGATTAGGTCAGATTGAGTGTAGAAAAATTTCAAAAGAAAGCCAATCAAATTCATAAATAAGGATCGTCGAGTAGTTCCAAATCCACCGAAAAACTATAGAGGTCTCAGTGTGCGAAGAAAAAAAGCCAGAATTGGGCTGCCCTTCAAGGCGTACAAGTAAGTCACCTGCATGGGCAGAAGTAACGAAAAGACTAGACTCCCCTTCAAGAGTTGGGAGAAACGATCACAAATGCAAAATAAAAAGTAGATGTCAGAGATCCGACATAGGTAAATATTCATTTGTAAATCGCTACAGTTAAAAAATTGGAATAAATCCCTGCAGCGGTCGTAGAGCCTTTCCTGCTCTGTGTGTGTTTTAGAAGACGACTTAATAAGATCTTTGTAAGGATGTATTTTACCGCACAGCTCATAATACATCATCCAAGTGATTTGTAGATTATTATAGATAAAGTGTAGTGTAGTGCAGTGGAAAGATACTTTAATAGTTATATGACATAAACCGAAGAATATGTGGTGAAAGTGTAGTTTAGTGTAATGTAGTGAAGTGAAGTAATATGTGAGAGTGGGTGGGGAAGCAAATTTAAAATGCTAAAGAGCTACTTTAAAAATCACATTATGTTTCTATTTAAAAAAGAAATTGTATAACTGGTTAATTTTATGTATATCTCTGCATGTGTGTCTACTAGTGTAAACTAAATATATGTTCTTCATAGACAGTATACTATGTAGGGCAAGTGTGTGTTCTTGTATGTGTGAACGTGGGAGTGAGCATTCATGTATAAGGTGTATGTATGTGCATACTGTGTGTATGTGTAGTATATGTATATATATATATATATACTATATATTATATATATATATATATATATATTTGTGTGTGTGTACATAATGATATAGGTCGTGTATATTTGTATATGAGTGTATGATCCGAAAGGAGTTATTGTAATTTTTTATATGGTAAATTGTTTTTGAAGATTATAAGTGTTCATATATTGCTAAACTGTAGGCGTAATGGCTACACCTGGCCAATCTGCCCCAATTGTAGCCAAATAAATATTATTATTATTATTATTATTATTATTATTATTATTATTATTATTATTATTATTATTATTATCTACTCCAGTCTCAGTCGCCTGCCAAAAATCCATCCCTTTCACCTTCCTTACGATCTCCACCCCCACCCTTATTTCGAACCCACTTACCTCTTCCTCTGATCCTTCTCCCGTTTCTCCCACTACCACTACCAATTCTCCTACACCTGATGCCTGTTTCCTCACAACCTGTCACTGCGGGGACACATTACAACCTTCGACCACGCACTCGATGTAAAAATGGAGTAAATACATAGCAACTACAGTCAGATGCAGTAGATAAACATCCGTGTAAGTACTTGCAAAAGATAAACATACTGCACCATAATGTTCAATCCCTTTCAAATAAAACTGAGTTTATCGAAGCAGCTCTACAGAGCGATTTAAATCAAATGGATGTTTTCTGCTTTACAGAAAATTGGTTATTTCATAATAAACTTAGCATTTTACAAATTCCAAACTTTTACCTCGCAGGCTATTATTGTAGAGAAAAGGAATCACACAAAGGTCCTGCAGATGGGGGTTCTTGCATTTATGTTCGAAATAATACCGATTCTATTGCCTTGACGGAATTAACTGTTTTCCGATGAAAATGTTTTTAAATGTCTTTAGTACATCTTCCTACGCTAAAAATTATATTACTTTGCATCTACAGGCCTCCAACAAAGAGAACAGTAGATTATATTATGTTCTTTAAGAAACTGGAGATAACACTAAACAGTCACCAATCGCTCTTTTAAATCCATTGTTATATGTGGAGATTTTAACATTGATTTTCTCCTCGAATCTGAGAAAGAGCAGTTTCTCAATTTAATTCATTCCTTCAGTTTAGATATTACAATAAATGTGCTTACACGGATCACACTAAATTCAAAGAAGGCAATCGATCAAATAATAATTAACAAAACCATTACTGGATATGAAATTGAAACAAAAGATGTAGGATACAGCGATTACGATGCCCAAAGAAATGCGAACACTGACACAATAAATAATACACATATGAGTAGATTATTTACTAGAACTAAAATACAATTATTCATCAATTACTTGCTGCAAGTCATGGGACGTTGTTTACAACACTGTTGATACAA